GTATGGATCTTCAAAGTACCTTTTCAAAAACTCACCATTATTTACCCCGCCATACTACGAGAGCGTGTACAAGGCCTACCTTCCTCGTCGTATTCGTCGCACCGGGTTTTCTCCCACCGTGCTACGAGAGCGTGTATAAGAGGTTCTCTGGCTCAATACTAACGTCGAGTGCGGGGGTTTTAAGTTAGAAATTTATACTTGCGCGATGTTGATGATGGTGGTGAAGACAATCTGACAACGATTTGCAAAAATGCACAAAAAACATTTTAATTTCCCCCTCTTTTAGTTTCCTCGAATTTTCTTCCCTTTTTATTCATTTCATCATTCTTTGTAACAAGACCCATCAATTGTATCTATATTAATATAATTAACAAAATAGATCAAGTATATATGTCTAACACGAAAATTTCATGTAATGTGATCTCAAATCATGATTATTTTTAACTAGTATAATTTTATAACTCAAAAGAGTTATAATCAAAATTCAATACTTCATGGTAAATCGTAATTGAAATTAAATAACTTTATTTCAGAGTTTCTAATTACTAAAATAACAATACTTTATTCTGATCATAAAATAAGTTTATAATAATTGAACAGTAAAACAAACTCCCACTAAGCTAGCAAATCATCAAAACAAATTACACCCATACGAGCCATATGCTCATGAAATATTTTAGGTGTTAATCATTTTGTAAGTGGGTCTGCAATTATAAAATCTATACTAATATGTTCAAATAGAATTTTAAGAACTCTAAACTCTTTCTTTCACAACAAGAAACTTAATATCAATATGTTTTGATATTGATGAGCTCCTGTTATTCTTGGAATATAACTCACTTGATTTATTATCACAATTTATCTTTAATGGTCTCTCAATGTCATCAATAATATGTAACTCTGTGATGAAATTTCACAACCACATTCCTTGATTTGAAGCCTCATAACAAGCTATAAATTTTGCTTCTATTATTGAAGAAGTTATAAGTGATTGCTTGACACTTTTCTAAGAAATAGCTCATTCACCTAATATAAAAATATAGCTTGAAGTGAATCTCCTGATATCGAGGAAATCAGCAAAATCAGAGTCGAAATACCCCACGATCTTTAAATGATCAGATCTCTGATATGTGAGTATGAAATCTTTTATCCTTTTTGGATACCTCATAACTCGTTTCACTGATTTCCAACGATTCATTCTTGGGTTACTTAAATATCCACGAAGTATTCCAACAATGTACGCAATATCCGAATGCATACAAACTTGAGCATACTTAAGTCTACATATTGCCGATGCATAAGAGATCTTATATATCTCTTATTTTTCAACTTCATTTATTGGGCATTGAAGCATATTAATCCCTTGTCGCACAATCTTTCGTGCAAATATGCTAAGCACTTTAATAATATAGGCTGTTTGTGATAACCAAAGTATACCACGAGAGCGATCCCGATGAATTTGTATACCCAACACAAATGATGTATTTCCAAGATCTTTCATTTCAAATTTATTTGAAAGAAATCTCTTAGTCTCATACAATACGTTTATATCACTATTTGCTAACAAAATATCATCGACATATAATACATGGAGAATAAACTTACTCCCACTTGCCTTATGATAAATGCATTGATTTGTAAGTGTCATATTGATTATAAAATAGTCTTTTAAAAAAATTAGAGAGAGTTTCTTTATAATGAATGACTTTCTTTTAAGTGAAATCTTTAGCAACTAGACGTGTCTTATATCTTTCAATATTATCTTTTGCATCTATTTTGGTTTTAAAAATTCATTTACAACCAATAGGTTTTGCTCCTTCGGATAATTCAGAAAGATCTCAAACATTATAATCTTTCATTGATTTCATCTCATCTTCCATGACCTTTATCCAATTTTGAGAATTAAAATATTATTTGATATGACTAAATGAGATTTGGTTATCTCTCAATCCCATATAAAACTCATGCTCTTTGAGATATATAATATAGTCATTTGAAATTTTTGTTCTCTTTTCCCTTGTGGATCTCTTTAATGACACTTCAATTTGAGGTTAATGACCTTCTATATGAGTGGAAGATAATTCAAGATTTCTTTGATTATCTAGATTTATAATTTGAATAACATCAAGCATAATTATCTGATTTTTTCAATGGTAATAATAAGAATAATAACATATTCATTCTCAAAATCAAAATCTTTGAGTTTATCACTCCCACTATATTCAACATCCTCAATAAATTTAGCATTGCCCGTCTCAAAAAAGAATTTATTTGAGGAATCATAAAATTTAAAGTTTCTTGACCTTTCAGAGTATAAAAAAAAAAATAGCAGCTGACAATTCTTGAGTCTAATTTTCTTCATTATGCTTATATAGCCTAGCCTCAGCTAGACATATCCAAAACATGAAAATGCCTAATGCTAGGCTTTTTTCCAGTCCACAACTCATATGGGGTTTAGTTACTGCTTTTCTTGGAACTTTATAAAGAATATAAGCTGCAGTCTTTAAGGTTTCTCTCCAAAGTGATTCTGGTAAAAAAGAATGACTAATCATACTTCTAACCATTCCTTCAAGGTTCTATTTTGTCTCTCAGCTATACCATTTTGACTTGGAGTCCCTAGCATATAGTGTATTGAGGAATGATGTCACATTCTGCTAAATATCTTACAAAAGGGTTTGGGCGTTGTTCACATGATCCATCATATCTATCATAGTATTCACCACCACGGTCATATTTGACATTTTTAATCTTCTTGCCAAGTTGATTTTCAACTTCAGTTTTGATGACCTTAAACACACAAAGATTCTGACTTTTCATGTATTAAGTATAAATACCCATAACGATAATAATTATTTATGAAAGTAACAAAATACTACTGACCTTTCCAAGAAGTTGTAAGAAATAGGCTATAGTACACGACCCGAAAACTCAACTCGAACCTGACATGAAAATTTTGAGTTTAAGTCAACCCGAACTTGAAATGGGTCGGATTTGGGTCTTGATTTTGGAACCATTTCAAATTTTGGGTCAGGTTCGAGGTTTGGTTTTACCTGAACCTGACATTGACCCGATTTTGACCCGAAGAAGTGCAGGAAAGGGAGAAAGTTAGCTTCACAGCGAGCAAACTCCCGTCGTTGCCTCTGCCTTCCGATCAAAATGTTGTAACTTCTGGTCTGATCAGAAGGGAACGTCGTCCAAGGAGGCAAGGAGTGAAGTCTAACAACAATGAAGGAGCTTCACAGCGAACGAACTCCCATCGTTGCTTCCGATTAAAATGTTGTAACTTCCTATCCAATCAGAAGGGAAAGTCATCCAACTGTACAAGAAGTGAAGTCGAACAATAATGTCATAGTGAGCAAACAACAGTCGCTGCTTCCAATCAAAAGGTTGCAACTTCCGATACGATTGGAAGATAACGTCGTCCAAGGAGCAAAGTCGAAGCAATGAATGAGCAGGGAGCAAGGAGTCAGTCAGCGAGCGAACTCCAATCATTGCTTCTGATCAAAGGTTGTAATGTCCGATCCTATCAGAAGGTAACGTCGTCCAAGGAGAGAAGTCGAACAGCAAAGAATGAGCGGGGAGCGAGAGCGTGGAGCCGGCCAGCGAGTGAACTCTCGTCGTTGCTTTCGATCAAAAGGTTGTAATTTCGGATCCAATCGAAAGGTAATGTCATCCAAGGAGCGAAGTCGAATAGCAATGAATAAGCAAGGAGCTGTTGCTTCCTATCAAATGGTTGTAACTTCCGATCCGACTGAAATCGAACGTCGTCATAAATCAGGTTCGAGTTGACCCGAACCCCAAGCGGGTTTGGTTCGGGTCCAAAAAATCAACCTGCTTGTAAAAATGAGTTAGTTTCGGGTTGAACCAAATAGTACTGAGTCAGTTCCGGGTTCGACCCGAACTCAACCCGTAACTCGAAATTGACACCCCTAAATATTAGTATGTATTAATTCCAAAATATTTAAACTCCTTTTAATACCTAATTTATTAATATTTAATTGTTTTGCCTTAAATACATTTAATACAAATTTTAAAATCAGTATAATTAAGGGAATCAAGAATTTCATCTAACACAAACCATTTAATTATTTGCTTAGAAATATATCCTAAATGCTTGTGCCATAATATAAAGAAATTTTTATCAATTAATTTTCTCTTTATACCAAAATTATTTATATAAAAAGTTTCATTTATCTGTGAGACAAAAATATCTAATTTATATAGATAATCAATCAAAGAACATGTATCACTAATTTTTAAACACTGAAAGAGACTAAATTTTTTATTTCAAAATGAATAAGAATAGCCAGATTTGTCCAAACATGAAATAGAAACCAGATTCCGTCTAAATAACGATATATAAAAAGTATGACATAAATCCAAAGTAGAACCAGATTCTAAATACAATCTATATAAGCCTACAGTTTAACATGAGCTTTATTGACATTTCTCACATAGATGAATCTTTCAGCATCGATTGGCACTCTACTTCTTAGACAACCCTGCATAGTCACACTTATATGAGTAGTTGTACATGTATATATTGTAGGAAAACATAAGTGGCATTCGGAGATGCCAGAGATAAACAGAGTAAAAGAAAAGAGGAAAGGTTTCATTCAATAATCTTGAGGTTACAGGAGTGCATTATATAGAAGAGCAAAATAAAGAAAGTACATAACAGATAAAGAAATAATACAAGAAGAGTCTAACGGTGCAATGAGGAACCGGTCTTGCTTTGCCACGTGTAAAGGTGGCTTAACAGCCCCCCTCAAGCTTATGGGTGTGTAGCAGCTGTAAGTTTGGTGGAGAGGATTTTGAACCGGTTGTTAGGTAGAGCTTTGGTGAAGAGGTCGGCTAGCTGATCTTCGGTGCATATGTGATGAACGAAGATGGTATTTTTATTGATGCACTCTCGGATGAAATGACAGTCCACCTCGATATGCTTAGTTCGAGCGTGAAAAATCGGGTTGTTGGCTAGTGCGATTGCGGAGGGTTGTTGGCTAGTGCGATTGCGGAAGTGTTGTCGCAGAAGACTTTGGTAGGTTCGTTTGGGGTGTGTGAAAGTCTTCGAGTAGTTGATGAAGCCATAAGATCTCGAATGCTTCAGTGGCGAGTGCTCTGTATTCGGCCTCCGTGGATGATCGGGCTATTGTATTTTGCTTCTTTACTTGCCATGAGATGAGCAAGTTGCCAAGGAAATTGCAGTATCCGGAGATCGACTTACGGTCATTGCTAGCCCAATCTACGTCCACGTAGCCTTTTAGTGTTAAGTTAGTCCGGTCTAGAGGAAAACCTGTGGAGGAGGAGCCATGTATGTAACGAAGTAGATGTTTCATGGCTTCGTAGTGGATGTTAAGAGGAGCTTGCATATGTTGACACAGTTGTTGAACGGTGAATTGTATGTCCGGTTGGGTTATAGTTAGGTACTGAAGTGAGCCTATAATCTGTCTGTAGAAATGTGGATTGTCATACTGTTCATTGGATGTGGCTGTTACGATTGTTCGGCAGGAGATTGGAGTTGAGACCGGTTTGGATTGCTCCATGCCGGCGCGCTGAATGATGGTCTTTGCATAGTGTTGTTGATGTAGAATGATGCCAGATGGTGTTTTGGCGGTGTGAATGCCCAGGAATTGGGACAGAGAATCGAGATTTCGCATCTGAAAGGTTGCATGGAGATTAGTTAATAATTTATTGATTTCGGATGGGGAATTACCTGTGAGTAGTATTTCGTCGACGTAGACGAGCATGTAAAGGTGGATGTTGCCGGAGTTGTATGTGAGAAGGGAGTGATCGGAGGCGCTGACTTGGAAGTCGTAATTTAGTAAGTGATTGGAGAGCGTCGCATACCATTCCCTTTGTGATTGTTTAAGATCGTAAAGTGCTCGTGAGCTTACAGATGTACTGCGGATGAGTTGAATCTTGGAAGCCTGGCGGTTGAGACATGTAGACGGTGTCGGACAAGGTGCCGTGTAAGAATGCATTCGAGACATCGAGTTGGTGAATAATCCAATTGTGATGAAGAGCGATGAGAATGAGGACCCGTATGGTTGGCATTTTGGCGACGGGGCTGAATGTTTCTATGTAGTCGATATCTTGTTCTTGATTGAATCCTTTTGCCACTAAGCGTGCTTTATGGCGGGCGATGGTTCCGTTGGAGTTATATTTGATTCGGAAGGTCCATTTTGATCCGAGGATGTTCATGGAGGGTTGCGGCGGAACTAATTCCCAGGTTCCTTGAGCTTGAAGAGCTTGGAATTCTTGTGACATGGCGGTGCGCCATTGTTTAAATTTGACTGCCTGGTTGTATGTGGTAGGTTCGGTTGGTTGGAGAATGTGGGCTAGATCAAAGATCTACTTTGGTTTAGAGAGGCCACTTTTTAGCCTGGTGACCATGGAGTGTGATGGTATGGGCGCGGTTGAGATAGATCTGTGAGTTTCTGAGATGGCAAGGTGGCTAGGGATCGGTCAACTGGGAGAGTGTTCTGGACGGAGATTTCTGGGTGTGTGGCTTGGCTGTATGTGGTGTTTGTTGGTGTGTTGGGGCGGTGACTTGGATGCTGGGATGTGTCGTGTGTATAGTGTGTGGGTTGAGGTTTGGTTTTGAGGGATTGAGGTATGCTGACATTTGGAACCAGTAAGAGTGGGGGAATGGATTGAGAGTGGTTTTACTGTGGTGAATGGTGAGAGAACTTGGTTGCAAAGGGGAACGTATTTTCATTGAATATAACGTGGCGCGATTTATAAAGTTTGTTAGATTTGGGATCCATGCATTTGTATCATTTTTGTTGGTGGGCGTAGCCTATGAACACGCAGGGATGAGAGATGGGTGAGAGGAGGTGTAAGGCTTGAGCCACGGATAACATAAAGAACCAAGGACTTTGAGGTGATTGTAGTCCGGTTGTTGGCCGTGTAGAATTTCGAAGGGGATTTATTATGAGTGTTGGGAGAGGGTAGGCAGTTGATGAGATAATTGGCAGTTAAGAGGGTGTCGATCCAAAGATGAAGGGGTAAGGCAGCTTGTATGATAAGAGCCCTCGTGGTTTCGATAAGATGCCGATGTTTGCATTCGGCGACCCCATTTTGAGATGGGGTATGCGGGCAAGTAGATTGATGACTTATGCCTATGGATCTACAATATGTTTTGAATTTGTTATTAATGAATTTGCCTCCATTGTCTTGCGAATAGTTCATATATGGCGGTTAAATTGACGTTCTACAGATTTTTGGAATTCAATAAACTTGTAAAAGACTTCGGATTTGTTTGTCATAGGGTAGATCCATGTAAATTTTGAAAAATCATCTATAAAAGATACATAGTACCGGAATCCTTGAGAGGAAACCGTGGAGACAGGGCCCCAGACATCTGAATATACTAAAGAAAATAAGCAGGTAGTTACAGTTTGAGATAAAGAAGTGGGAAGGCGGTGGCTCTTGGCCATTTTGCAGGAATTACAAGATGGTTGTTGAGAGAAGATGTGGACGTTGCTGTGACGTTTGGCGATGTTGGCCAGGGTTTGAGCTGAAGGGTGACCGAGAGGGCAGTGCCACAGATCCGAAATTTGTTGAATAGAGAGGAGAGCGAGCTGGTCGGTGTTGGAGGCCGATTAATGTTGGAAGCGAAGCGGGTAGAGGCCGTTAATAGGACCCGTGAGAAGAAGGCGGTGGGTCTTCCGATCCTTGATTTCATAGCCGTGAGGGAAGAAGGTGATAAAGCAGTTGTTGCCGGAGGTTAGTTGATGAACCGATAAGAGATTGAAGGACAAGTTGGGAACAAGATTACAAATCTAGCAGGAAATGGATGGCTGATTGGTATTGTTGCCGCGGTTGGCAAAGGCGTTAACTGGTGGTCATCCATTGTTACGTCCACGAGCTGATGATGATCTTCCGCGCCCCCATCCACGGCTGGCGGTGAGGGCGGTTTGGTGGCCGGTAATGCTGAGGGAATGGAGTTCTCTGGTTGTTTCGTGAAGAAGGTTGAGTTCTTCACTGCATAAGAGGGTGTAGAGTTCGTCGAGGCTGACTGAGCGGAGATTGGTGCGGATGGCGGTCTTGAAGCTTGATAAGTAGTAGGTAGGCTGTTGAGTGTGTAGTGAATGACATCTTCTAGGTCGACTGGAGAGCCAGCGGCGACGAGAGCGTCGACTTTGGATTTGACATCAATAAGGTACTATGTCATTGTCTTATCCTTCATAGATAGGTAATAAAGCTCGTTCTTTAATTGAGATATTCTTAATCTTGTAGATGATTGTAGTCAGCTATCAAGAATTCGATAGATTTCATTGCAGTGATCGGCGGAGAGGACGTAGGGTAAGATAGCGGGAGAGATAAGTACAGGGCAGCGGCGAGGTTTTGATCGATTAATTGCCAGGTGGTGTGGGCGGTGTTGGTGCTGGGTTGTCCGGCGGCGTCTGAGATAGAGGGAGGCGGGCAGGTGAGCGAACCGGTTAAGAAACCTTCGAAACTATTTGCCCGGAAGAGCTTGATGACTTGGGATCTTCATAAAGAGTGGTTGTCTGCAGTCAGTTGCTGGGCAATAACGTTCTTGATGTTGCTCATCAAAAATTTGAGAGAGGAAGGAATCTGGGGAGAGGAGAAGTTGCCTTCGGCGGTGGAGTCCGCCTGAGTGGAAGAGGAAGTGGTTGCAGTGGATGTCATTGCAGAGGAGGATTGGATCGTTCTAGACTTTTGATACCAAGTAGGAAAACAGAAGTGGCATTCGGAGATGCGAGAGATGAATAGAGTAAAAGAAAAGAGGAAAGGTTTCATTCAATAATCTTGAGGTTACAGGAGTGCATTATATAGAAGAGCAAAATAAAGAAAGTACATAACAGATAAAGAAATAATACAAGAAGAGTCTAACGGTACAATGAGGAACCGGTCTTGCTTTTCCACGTGTAAAGGTGGCTTAACATATATCCACCAAGTATGATTTGATACTAAGGCTAAATTAACTTCTGAACAAATAAGATTCAGAAGTTTACACTTTTTGATGAGCTATTTAACATATTTTGGACAATCCTTCTTCACATAATTAATCTTCTTGCAGAAGAAACAAGTAATAACTAGATCTTGCTTTTGTTGCACTTTTGGTTGTGAAGTCCCTTTATCTATAGCTCTTTTAACTTTATAATTTTTTTTCTTTTTGGTAGCAAAATCATGAGAAGAAGAAGCTAACTAAACACTTTATATTTTTATGTTTTAATCTTTCTTGCTTTTGCACACACTGAGCAAAGAGCTTATTAAAAGTGCATTTTTCTTTTTGAGTATTGTAACTTACCATAAAAGAACTAAATTATGTAGGAAGAGAGATCAAGACTAGATGCACAATAATGTCATCGAATAATTCTAACTTTAATTCTTTTAGTCTTATAACAAAATTAGACATTTTTATAATATACTCTATTATGTTCCATTTGCTTTTATACCGTATTGAAATAAGTTTACTAAGAATAGTACTTGTTTCGGCCTTTTCAAAACCTGCGAAAGTGTTTACTATTTGGCTGAGAAACTTCTTAGCATTTTTCTCCTTAGATATTACACCCCTAATGATATCTGAAATAAAGTGCTTCATGATCATAACACTCATGCGGTTTGAATGCTCTTATTTTTTAATTTCACAGTAAGGGTAAGAGGACTTTCAGTCCGAATGGCATAATCTAGATCTATACACCTAAAAATAATAGTAATGTACTCTTTCCATTTCATAAAATTAGTGTCATTAAACACTAGAATGTTATTTAAATTGACAGATATTGAAGAAATATTAACTGAAAAAAGAATAAAAATAAGCTCACAATTAGTAATAGTATAAGGTGGGCCCTTATAAGATATCTAACACAATATTATAATTTAGTCTTTGGACAAAAATTATAATTTGTAAATGACACTCTTAAAATTGTAGTTAATAAATATTGATAATGAATTCTGTCAATAATAAGCCTTTATTTTGACCGACTTACTATATGCATGAATAATTTCAAAATTATCACATATTTATTACCAAATCTGTGGAGTCCGGCCAAAAAAATATTTCTTTGGGCTAATTATTTTTCGCATAGACTTGAAATTTTTTTTAGCATTATTCAATAAATTTTAAATTAAATTAATTGATCTAATAGAGGTCACTTTATATTATTTCAATTTAATTTAATTTTAAATTAATAAATAATTATTTCAAATAAGAAAATATATTGAGTAAAAAAATCATATTGTTTATGACATTCAAATAAAAAAAAAGTAGTTATCCTTTTCATTATCAGTTATCATTAAATAAATGATTAAAAAATTCAAAAAATTGAGTGACCAATAACAACAATTGTCAACACTCCAATAAGTGCATCTATTCACAATAGCTGCAACTATTCATATTTCTATAATAACAGAATTTAGGCCTAAATGTTAATTTACATTTTAAAAAAAATAACATGAATTAGACTTTAATTTTGATGCAAGAGGCCCATTACAATACAGAAACATTAATACATTTATTTTGGATGTTATAAGTCATTCAATTAATTTAATGACGTTATAGATACATAACTGCACATTGTATTACAATTTCTTAATGAAAATAAATTTCATGAAAAAATAGGAAAGAATAAAATATTGAACTTAAATAAGCATTCATGTAACCGAAACTTTCCAACAATTGTGCCAATTGAAAATTAAATTTATTGGATTTATTTACGGCTAAGTAAAGTAATGTAGGGCAATTTTAATTTTTATTTGTAACTGACATTAAAATTAATAGCAAAATCTTCGTTCTTTATACTGCAAATTTATCAAAAATGACAACTTTCGTATTCTCATACAAAAAATTAAATCCATGAAAATGATGAACTCACAAAATAGCGAAGAATCAATACGATTACAGTAATGTTGAACTTCACAAATTTAACTGCTCTCTTAATTTTTCAACACAAAACAAAATAGATTTTGAAAAATTGTTTGCAAATATTTTACATCGAGGAATCATAATTTTTTCAAATGA